GAGGCTGTAAAAAGTGAAATGTATGCAGATTGGCATTCTAGGGATCAGTGAACTGAGATGGACAAGCATGGGCCACTTTTAATCAGACAATCTCAGCTTCCACTCTGCTGGGAATGAAAAACTGGGGAAGAATATTGTTGTTTCATAGATAAAATGACAATGTCAAGATCCATCCTTAAGTACAAAGCTGTGATAGGATACTATCCACATGAATTCTAGGAAGACCTGTTGATATGACTATTATTCAAATATATGCACCAACAACTAAAGCCAAAGAGTAGGTGATTGAGAGTTTCTACGAACTTTTGCAGTCCAAAATGGACCAAACATGCAATCGAGTTGCATTAATCATTGGGGACGGGAATGCAAAAGTTGGAAACAAAGAGGAAGGAATGCTGGTAAGAAAGTATGGACTTGGTGACAGTAATGAGAATAGAGATTGAATGAGGTTTGTGTGCTCAAGGATTTATAGCAAATGTTGTTGTTGTTGTTATGTGCCATTGAGTTGCTTGCAACTCATAGCGACCCTATGTATAACAGCCCTAAACCCTGCTCTGTCCTATGAGAATCGCACTATCTCTGACACTCCCATCCCGATCACCCCAGTCACTGAATCAATCCACCTCATAGAGGGCCTTCCCCTCCTGCGCTGTCCCTCCATCCTCCCAAGCATGATCCATTCCTCAGGTTGCATAGAGGGGGCATAAAGAAAACTTGACTGGCAGAGAAGTTGGACAGCTAAAGAGTCCATAAAACTCCCTGCCCATTTCCCAGGTAACATTGAAGACCCCAAAACTGTGCGGCCTCCATTCAGCCCCTCAGGCCTGCAGCCCTCGGGTCAAGGAAAACCTATCTATACACCAGTCCTATAGGACACATCACCTTTGCTTGGGAAACATTACCACTAAACTTCAGAGACACTGGTCACAGCATCAGAAACTACCAGCAGCTGATGTGTTTGGAATGAGAGAAGACAAGGAAGCTTCAGATATAAGCTATCAGATCAAGGGCTGGTCAATGGGAGATAGATGTGAAGGGAGTGGGTAGAAGTGGATGGGTATCCTGGTGGATGGTGGAGCAGGGGAATAAGTGGGTAAAGATACGTGTGCCAAAGCAGGGACAACACTGATATGAATGGTTAACTCCACAATAAGGGCTATATCTTTCACTTTTTCTATAAAATGCTGGTCTGTCTGATACTTCTCTAAATCTGAACAGTCGGATTAAGACAGACTAGGAAGAAAGATTGGCCATCCACTTCTGAAATAGCGGCCTCTGAAAACCCTATGTACCTATGTAATAGCAAATACCTATTTCAAAAAAACACAGGTGGCAACTTTACACATGGACCTCACCTGATGAATTGCACAGCAATTACTGTTGCTGTTGTTGTTATATACCATCAAGTCACCAGCAATGCATAGCGATCCTGTATACAACAGCTCTGAACCCTCCCTTATTCTGAGCCAGTCTTAACTGTCTCTGACACACCTACCCCCATTACTCTAGTCACTGTGTCAATCCATAGCACCTAAGGTCTTCCTTTCCTATGCTGTAGCTCCATCTTTCCAAGCATGGTGTCCTTCTCCAAGCATTGATTCTTTCTGGCCTCATATCCAAAGTATGTGAGACCGAACTTCCAAATCCTTGTTTCCAAGGAGCAGCCTGGTTTTACTCTCTTGAGGACAGACATATGTGTTCTCTTGGTATGTTCAATCCTCTTCTCCAGCACCATAACTCAAAGTCATCAATTCTTGTTCTGTCATCCCTAGACATTGTCTAGCTCTCTGATGCATTGCAAGTAATTGCAAAGACTGTGGACTGAATTAGGCACATTTTAGTCTCCAGACTGACATCATTGCTTGTTAGAACTTTGGAGAGGTCAAGCTGAAATTGTTCACAACCTCAATCTCTTTTCCATCTATCATGGCTTTATTTGTCGAAAGAATCATTGGAAAAGTGCAGTATCTGCAGTCAAAACCAGATGAGATGCCACTTGTAGAGGAGATTATCAAGTTTAAATTGAAGGTGAAGAAAATGAAATCTACTTTACAAGAGTCAAAATATGACCTTGAGTCTATCTCAGTAGAATTTAAGAATCATCTCAAGGGCAGGTTTTACCCATTGAAGACGGATGATTGAAGACCAGAGGAACTATGGGAGGATCTCAAAGTTAGCATCCATGAAGAGAGAAAAAGGTCATTACAAAAAGGAAAAAATAAATGAAACATAAAACACCCCAAAGTGAATAGAGAAAAAACAAACCCCACAGTTAGAACAGACTGAAAATTGCATCAGAATGTAGAGAAGCTAAAACAAAGGGAAAAGATGCCAAAGTGAAAGAGCTGAAAAGATTTCAAAGGGCAGCTCAAGAGGCTAAAACAAAATATTATTAGAAAAAGTACAAAGAGCTGGAGTAAGAAAATAAAAAGGGAAGAACTCACTCAGCATTTCTCAAGCTTAAATAACTGAAAAGCAAATTCAGCCTCATGTTACAATACTGAAAGATGCTTTATGTGCAATTTTGAATGATCCAGGAAACATCAAAAGTAGATGAAAGGAATACACAGACTATCTGTACTAAAAATAATCGGTTGACATGGAAAAAATTCAGGTAGTACCATATGAACAAGAGCCAATGGTGATAAAAGATGAAGTTCGGGCAGCACTGAAGGCATTGGCAAAAAATAAGGCCCCAGGAATCAATGGACTACCAACTGACATGTTTCAATTTACAGATACAGCCCAGGATGTGCTCACCAGTTTATACCAGGAAATTTGTTGTTTATAAGGTCACTATGAATCATGCTCAACTTGACAGCACCTAACCACAACAACAGTGTCACTATGAGTTGTACTTGATTTAACAGCACCTAACTATAACAATAAGAAGCTTATAGCAAGATTCACAGGACCAAGTAACTACACAGAGTTTTCTGAGTGGAAGAGAAATTCATCAGGAAATTGAGAGTCAAAAAATGAAACAAGAAGAGCGAACTGGGGGTAGGAGGTTGAGCAGGGAGAGAAGTACAACAATAAATGAATGAATGGAAATACAAAGTCTCTGTAAACTTTCATTAAAATTAATGAAAGTTTTAAAAAGGGGAGAAAGAAATGAAACAATATGATGAAACTGTTTCATATTCACTGAAATAGGTTAGGATGAGATTAATGGTAGGATAAGAAAACTTCTGGAGGTTTTTAGAGCACCCGGGTAAGATAAAATGGTAGTTTGTCCCAGTAGGCTTGAACTATGACATGTAGTTGGCTGGGTGAAAAGTGACTAGAACCTGGACATATTTTGGATAAAGGATATAAATGCTATTCTAGAATGGTTAGAAAGAGACAAATGGAGAATGTATCTAAGGTTTAAGTGTAAAAAGATGAAAAAATAGTGTTTCTGTTGTCTGAGAATAGGGGAAAGTGGCCCTATGTTGTCTCAATGATTGTTTGATTTTTATCAATCAGCTCTACAATATCTTTCCATGGTTAATGAAATTCCTTCCGGGACCACACCAAACAGTCATTAGAGACTGGGAGAAATTGAAATTATTTGTTTCTGGCATGATTGAAAACCACAAGAAAGATTGGAATCCTGATGAACCCAGAGATTTCATTGATGCTTACCTCAAGGAAATGACAAAGGTGAGAAATCGCAGATGTTCCCTATGTTTTGTTCTTTCAAAACAAATAGAGGACCATTAGCTTGCTGTTATTTTATGTAACAAATGATCATAAATTTGGTGGTTACAAGAACAAAAATAAATTTTTTCATAGCTCCACAAACTGCAAATCTAAAATCAGGGCAAAATTTGGACAGGAGTAATGCTGACTCCCTCTGGAGGCTCTCGGGAGATTGCATTTCTTGCCTCATCCAGGTTTTAGAGGCTACCTGCCTGATCTGGTGGAAAACTTTCTCTGTATTTCATCTTCAAAGCCAGCAGCATAGCATCTTCTCACCTCTCTGGTCACTGCTTCTTTCTGGTCTTGTCTCCCTACATCTAACATGCTCTTTATGAAAACATTAGACCATCTGGATAATCCAGTATTGTATCTTCATCTCAAGATACTGGAAAGTACCTTTTGGATGAATTAAAGTTTATCTTAGACCCATAGATTCTGATTTGATAGACTGAAAAAGAACAGAGTAGAACAGCCTCATAGAGATTCCAAGCTCTTTCATAGCTGCTAGTGTGCTACCTCTGTCTTTTAATTGTGATTTTTAATAAAAGCTTACAGAAAGCTTGGGTTACCACCCATTCATTGATGCACATTTTCCTTCCTTCCCCTTTCCCCCCATCTCCCTCCATTCATTTTGTAATAAACTTCTTGATTCAGACTGTTGTCATGCATAGAATGCAAGTCACACATCCCTTTCAGACAATCCTTTCCTTCATCTGTTCCAGTGCAATGTTCATTTTCTATGCACTCTTTTCCTGTTCTCCTTCCCCCATTGTCAATCCTATTTTATAACAATGGTCTTATGAAGTATTTGTCCTGTTGTGACTGAAATATTTCACTCAGCATATTATCTTCATTCAGGTTGTGTAATGTTTAACAAGTTCATTGTTTTTCAATGCTATGTGATATTCTATTGTGTGAATGCACCAGATTTTCTGTCCATTTGTTTGTTGATAGGCAGTTGGGCTATTATTCGCTATTGTAAACAATATTGCAATAAAAAATGAGTGAGCATACATTTGTTTGCATCATGGCTCTAACTTCTTTAGGATATATTCCCAGTAATAGGATAGCTGAGTTAAATGGTATTTCTATTTCCAACTTTACGAAAAAGCACCAGAACACTTTCCATAGGGATTGTACCATTTTGCATTCCCACTAGCTGTGAATGAGAGTTCAATCTTTCAACATCCTCACTAGCATTTATTGTTTACTGCCCTGTTAACTTTGCTATTTTTGCTAGGGTGAGATACCTTAATGTTGTTTTGAGACCCCTTACCTTTCCTGTATAAAAGTCAACATATTCACGAAACTTAGCACACACATTGATACATTATCAGGAAGTCCACTCTCTAAAGGGAAGCATCAGGCTCGGTAAAGTAAAATGTCAGTTAAAAAAGAAAGACAAAGATCCTCAATGAGATGGACTGAGATTGTTGCCACAATGGGTTTAAATAAAACAGTGGCTGTATAGATGGCAAATGTTGGAGCAGAATTTCATTCTGTTCTGCTTAACTTTATTCTGAGTTGAAACTAGTTTAATAGAACCTAACATTTAATTGTGCTCATGAGAAAGCTATTCCTAAATCAAGTAGCTGTTGTTTGAATGAAGCAATAGGACACTTCATGGTTTAAAATTAGGAATGGTGTATGTCAGGGTTGTATCCTTTCTTTATACCTATTCAATCTGTATGCTGAGCAAATAATTCATGAAGCTGGACTCGATGAAGAGAAATGAGGCATCAGGATTGAAGGAAGACTCATCAACAATTTGCATTATGCAGATTACATGAAATGTAAGTGCTTGCTGAAAGTGAAGAGGAGATGAAATGCTTGCTGCAGAAGATCAAGGACTACAGCCTTTGATACGGATCACATCTCAACGTTAAGGAAACAAAGAGCTTCACTACAAGACTAATAGTCAACATTATGATAAATGGAGCAAGGATTGAAACCGTCACTGATTTTGATCTTGCTTGGAGCAACAGTCAATACTCCTGGTACCAGCAATTAGGAAATCGGGAGACATATTGCACTGGGAAAGTCTACTCTCATGAGCCTCTCCTAAATGCTGAAGAGCAATGAGATCAGTTTGAAGACTTAGGTGTGTGTGATTCAGGCCAAGGTCATGTCAGTAACCTACTATATATCTGAGAGCTGGACAATGAGAAAGGATAACAGAGAAATAATTTATGCCCTTGAATTGTGGTACTGGAGAAGGATGCAAAAATGTCCCATGAACTCCCAAAAGAACAAACTGATATATTTTGGGAAAAATCCAGCCAAGAGTGCTCCTTGGAGGCAAAGATGGCAAAGCTTTGTGTTTCATACATTGGACATGTAGCTAGGTGAAGGTATTCTTGGAAAGGACCATTATGCTTGAAAAGATGGAGGGTCAGAAAAGAAGAGGAAAACCCCCAATGAGATGAGTTGACATGGTGAGTTCAGCAATGGCCTCTAATGTGTCGGACAGGATGAGAATGACACAGGACAGGGCAGGGTTAGGTTTACTGTGTACAGGGTCGCTATGAGTCATACCCAACTCACTGGCATCTAACAACCACAACAACATGAAAACCCTAAAAACAAGATATATAAAGCACGATGTGCATATGTGAAATGCAATGTATATATAAATAATAAAAATATTAATAAAAACATTTTTAAGAAGAAAAAAAAATCAAACACCAAACAAACCCAAAATAAAACAATCCAACCTGGATTGACACAGTAACTACATCAATGGGCTCAGGTTTACCATGAAGATGGTACAGGATATATGACAAGGTTCAGATCTGTGGTCACTGTGAGTCATACTTGACAGCACCTCAAAGCAACAGAGACCTCTGGTGGTTTGGTGGTAAAGAGATGAGCTGCCAGTCCGGAAGCATGAATCCACCAGTTGCTCCTTGGCAGAGAAATGGACAATATTCTCTCGTGCAATTTATTGCCTCTGAAAACCTGGTAGAGAGTCAGCTGTGAGTCGATTCCTACGCTATGGTACACAACAACAGCAAAGTTTCAGGGCATGAGCAGCACTGAAAGTTATTCTTCAGCCTTCCAAATGAAGTTAAAAAAACGTGGCCACTATTCCAATGTGAAGAAGTAATATTAACTCAAGATCAATGAGTAATAAAAATAAAAATAAAATGAAAGTAGAGTCTTAATGATATTTTTCTGACAACTCTGGAAATAATTAAAGTACCTTCTCATTTCCCTCACGACTAAACACTAGCCATATCTAAAGATAGATATACACTACAGGAAAAGCAGAAATCGAGCATGAAAGCCCTGTTAGCTGTGTGGTGGTATTTATTTCTGTTACCTGAGAAGACCTGAGTGATTAAGCTCTCAGCTGCTAACTGAAAGGTCGGTGCTTTGCCTTGCCAACCACTTCCATGGGATAAAGATACAGCAATTGGATTAAATTAAAAGTACGTCTTTGGAAGCCCTTTGAGGCACTTGTACTCTGTCGTTTAGGGTCACTGTAAATCTGAATCAATTCAGTGGGATAAGGTTTAGATTTCTTGATGCTTAGTTACCTATTCTTAGCCTCTATTTCAAACAAAAAAATTAAAGCTAAATTGGACTCCAAAGTTTAACCTAAGGGCCTCTCACCAGCCCAGATTTGATTATGACTCATTCCCTTTCCAGCAATGTAGGCAACAAGAAGGCATGAAGAAAGTGAAATTGCATGTATGGGCTTTGAGCCAATGTCCCTGCCACTTCATATATTGGATGAATGTTTTAAATTTTAACTCTTCATATTAATGGTTCTCAGGGGGAAAAGGTGCATTTCTTTCCGTTTCTTTCTTAATACCTACTCAACCAATTTTCTGAACAAATTATTTGAGAAACTAGGCTATATCAAAAGAATGTGGTATCGGGATTGAAGGAAGATTCACCAACAATCTGTGGTATGCAGAAGACACAACCATGCGTCAGGAAGTAAAGGGAGCTTGAAACACTTGCTCCATAAAAGTAAAAAACTACAGCCTTCAAGATGGATTACTTCTTAACATAATAAAAATCCTCACTATTGGCCCAAAAGGCAACATCATGAAAATTGGAGGAAAGTTTGAAGTTGTCAATGTTTTCATTTTATTTGCATCTACAATCAACATCCATAATAATAATAGTCAAAGTATCAAAAGAAGTGTTGTTCGGGGAAAAGTTACTTTCAAGGACTTCTCCAAAGTGCAAAAGATTAAGAATGTCACTTTAAAGATTAAGGTGTGCTTGATGTAAGCCATGGTATGTTCAATTGCTTCTTATGCACCTGAAAGTTGGACAATGAATAAGGATAACAGGAGAAGTGATGCCTTGAATTGTGTAAAACCATGCTGATTACTTGTTGAAGGCCATGTACAAATCAGGTGTCTCAGCATGAAGCCCAGGAGGTTAGATCCATTTTACGTAATAGGAAACTGAACCATGAAGATAGTAACTTGCTTTAGATTATACTACCATCAAACGTGTCACTAATATTAGAACTCAAAGCTGTGTTTTTCACATCCCATTCTTTATCCACTTTATTAATATGTTTTTCTCAAAGTAGACATCTAAAAAAAATGTAGACATCTAATAGAAAGATTGCTCTGTTTTTCAATTACTGAAGAAGTTGTTGTGGTTGTCATTGAATCGACTATGACTCATAGCGACCTTATGAATAATAAAAGCCCTGAACCCTGCCCTATCCTGAGCCAATGTCATTGTCTCCAATACAACTGTTCCCGTTATCACAATGACTCTGTCAACCCATCTCATCTAGGCTCCTCCTCTCCAGCACTTCCTCCACCCTTCCAAGTGTGGTGTCCTTTTCCAAGGATTGATGCCTCCTAACAACATGCCCAAAGTGTGTGAGACAGAATTTAAAAATCCTTGCTTCCAAGAGGCAAAAACCTGGTTTCACCCCTCTCCAGGACAGATCTGTCCATTCTCTTGGCAGATCAATACTCTTCTCCAGCATCACAA